CAGTTTTTATTCACAAACACAATAAAGAAACTGAATTACGTACATGTATCTGTGTGTTTAAGACTTTATTCCACATTTTTGGTTCGTTGTACACCTGTGTATTTCTGCTGTCACACACACCTAGGTAACTCCATCACACCATCATTGCATTGGTTTCTTGGTTTTCCATTCATTCTGCCTCTCGGACATATGAAAGTGATATGATCGCCATGGGGTGAGAAAATTTTTTGAAGTCCTCCTACTTTCAAATGCAGACCTCGTTCTTCCAATATAGCCACACTCACTGAACAGGGCTCTGAAACAACATGGAATCAATAAATAAACCAAACAGAACTAAACTAAGAGAACATCTAAAGTTTTAATGATTCGTTTACTTTAGGCAAAGCCATCTGTAGAGTGAGTTTGTAGATTGTAGTGTCTCATACTTACTCAAGCAATAAATGTTCCCTATCCATTCCCCATTCTGGCAGATCAAGGACTTGGTGTGGGGGTGCTGAGTGTCCAGTGTGTATTTATTAAAACACGTGTATTTTACTTCTTCTCCTTCAGTATATTCTGCTCTCGCAAATCCAACTGTATCAGAATTGTTCACATGTGGTGGTGATCCACAAGTTCCTAGGGCACACCAAATGTCTTGTATTAAAATTAAATATCATTTCGAGAGAAACAAAGCTCAGACTTTTATTACAATGCACACTATTGTTAACTCTATCTATACCTTACAATCATATTACCGCAATCATACAATAATATTCCACAAGTTGCACTCCCATAACATGGGTCGGCAACCCACAGCTGTGTAGATGTGTGTCACGAAACAAATTCTGTTTAACATAAAGTGCAGATATATTTAATTTCTATTATAAAACTGTTCCATTTCTGATTGTAGTGTAACTGTGAAATTTATAGAACACTTGGTTATTTTTCAAATGTAAATGTCCATCTCATTATTGAACTCTCTGAGCCTCCCTTCTATTTAGGTTCTCTGTTTGGTTAGGTTTATATAGTGATGAGGTTGACTTGTGACCCTGAGAACTCCTCCCGAAACTGGTTACTTAAACACCACTTAACTTGATCATAGTTGATCTTTTATTGATGATATCTGTAACTTACCTCCTGTGCATATTGGGAATGTGTTGCTCCATTGTCCATCTTGATTACAGGTGATTACTCTTTCACCTATCAACTTAGAACCTTTCCCATCACATGAAAGTGTTACTTTTTGGTGAGGTTTGACTGAAATCTCATGTGCCAGTTGTTCATCACTTTCTGCTCTCATATTTTTAGAGAGGATTGCCTCACATCTTATCTCTGAAGAAAAGAAAGACTTGCTTCATTAATCAAAGTCTGTGTTTTTCTTCAAGAAAATCATTGTTTTTCTTTCTGTAGCCTCACCGTCACATTTTGGAAAGGGGCCGTTCCATTCTCCATTTGGCAAGCAGGTGATTTCTGTCAATCCTTTTAGCTTCATCCCATTCTCCGAACATGAAAACCTTATGCTTTGTCCTTGTTTGACAGGGCCTTCAACATCTGGAGACCGTTCGATCGTCATGCCTTCCATTGTTTCATTTAAAGGACATGTCGCCTCTAGTGAAAACAGACATTCAGGCATAAATTTATACAAAAGCAAATTTATTCTTATCTTTGTTTCGAAAATCTACTGCACGAATGAGACTAAGCAGAGCAGGCCGTCCTGTGAGGGGGCACGGGGGTCGGATTCCTGAGTTTAAACATGTAGGGTGGTAGGGGCATCATGGAAGTCCATTTTATTCCACAAAAAAGTAAAAGGTTGAAGGTTGGCTTAAAAAAATAAGAGAAAAAAAGTCGAAATGTTAAGATATGAGGTCAAAATTTTGAGATTGAAATTAAAACCTCACCTTTTACCTCACAATGTCAACTTTTTAATCTCATTTTTATTTTTGTATATCGATTTTCTACTTTTATCTCAAGTTGTTTACTTTTTAATCTCAATTTTGACTTTTTTAAAATCCATAATAGGGGTCCTTTAAAAGGTTTTGTGTTAAAAAATGCATTTATTTTCCGTGTCCTTACCAACACATTTAGGGAATGGGCTGCTCCATGTCCCATTCACCTGGCAGGTGATTTCCTTTGGTCCTTCTAAAGTTAATCCCCCAGTTTCAGGACATGAAAATGTCAGTTTGTGTCCATATCTGATGTCCTCATGAAAAGGGAGTCCATGCACTTGCAACATTTCATCTCTCATCTTATCATACAAGCAAACTACCTCTGCGGAGATAAAATAGTTGTTAGATGCTCTGGAACAAAACCTTTTTGGTTCACATAAAAAAGTAAAATATCGTCTTAAATGAATCTGTCTCATTACCTTCACAAGTAGGCAACATATTGTCCCATCCTCCTGGTCTACATGTTCTGCTGTAAACTCGACTCGCCATCTGGAAACTTGAGAAATATGCCATTTTACAATGTCTGCTCTAAAAAAATGGAACTGAATTCCCCATAATGCCCTTGGATCTTCCTCCTGACGTGTCCTCCTTGATTGTCTGTTTCTGATCACTTTTTGTCTGCGTATTGACTTTTCCTCTTGCTAATATCATATTGCCTAGCCTGTGTATCTGTGTGCTGCCTGCCTATCGATTTTACCATTAAACTCAGTAAAACTAGTGTCTGGATCCTCCTTTGCTTACCTGCCTACCACAAAAAAACACTTATAAGAGCAATAAGATTTGATTTGCTTCAGAGCTCACCCCTCTTTGCAGATGTACTTGATGGTTGACCCAAAAACAAAGTCGGTACCAGTCACAAATTCGTACTGTCCATTTGGAATGTCTTCAGGCAGCTCGCACCGTTTGGCTGATGGGGATTTAGAAAGCAGATGGATTGGAGGATATATTTAGATTTTTATCACCATTTCATTTTTGATACTCACGTGAACATGTTTCACCACGTATTTTAATCCATTCATTGTCACTGCAAATGTAAGTGATTTTTTTCAAGGAGGAATAGCCAATTCGGCAGTCGAAGACAATTTTGTCGCCCACAGAGTGGTTCCCTTTCTTGGAGAGTTCAGAAACGTCTGCATTGTCTTCATTAGGATATTTAGAGCAATCTGATGGAAGCGGATGAAATGCCAAAATTAGTGTCATATTTGTGTGGAAGTGCAGGCCTTTGTTTCTTGAAATTCCTTACCATTCGGTGGGGAAGACTCAATGCCACGGCATATCCAAACACATAAAATAATAAGACTTGATCTCATTATCCACAGTTTTCCGCACGATCTCATCATAGCCTTGTCAGTTCATTTACTCGCACTGGGAGATAAAGAAGCTTGAGCAACAAAGTCTTTGACTTGAGTTAATGTTTACTAGTTCAAGGCAGGACTTTTCATTCGCTGTGTTCTTTATTTGGAGGACTCTGGTTTGTTTATGTGTGGAATAAAGTGAATTAAACAGAAGTATTCAGAATGACAGTCTCTAGCAGAAATGTTTGTCATGTTATTCAAAGTATAGATTTTTTTTTAAAAATGCACTGATTTGAACAAATCTGCTAATATTAAATGCAAGACTCAAACAAATCAGTTTAATACATTATGTTTATAATTGCCTTCTCATAAAACAAATCTAAATGTTTTTTATGGTGCATTTGTTACTAAAAGATTCACGTAATCCCAAAAAGCTGTCTTGGAGGTTGTCCGATTTCCAAAGTACAAGTTTGTTTTATTAATGGAAAAGTATAATTGTATTTTTTGAAATACTTTTTTTAATCTCCAATCTTTTTTGTACATTTGATGACAAATATGGGGAAGAAAAAAAAATCGATGTTGTTTTAAGAGTGCTTTACCACAGTGGTTCCAAAAACCCCTCTGGAACAAATCTGATCTATTGCTTAAACAAACCACTGCAAAGCAAGTGATCTGTGTAAACAGTAAGTGATCTTTGTATGTAAAAATCAAATAAATATTCCAGAAATGATGTTGACTGCTTGTTATTTCTCAAGTAATCAATCACATGATCAATAAGGAATTTCTAATGTTTCTCCTAGCTGCTGACAAAGCTCAATTTATATATATTTTTTAATACTTATTTTTAGCTATTTGGTTGGAGTTTGCACACAGATATTAACTGATAATGTGAACTAATATTATAAATGTGCAGCTAGTTTTTCAACCAAATCATTTGAACTCTGCAAACTTTGTACTGTTTTTTTTTCAACAACATAATCAAAACATTAAAAAACAGACAGATTTTAACTGAAATTCAACATATCCTTGCCACACCAATCTGGAAACATATATTGTCCTGCTGAGAGGCCAAGTGCATCCACACATATTATACAATAAAGAGACTTAAATTAATAATTTCCTGTATTTTACACTGAAAAATAATAGTTATTTCAAAGAGTTCACTTGAGAGTAAAAGTGAAAAATAGCTTTAAACTAGGGTAAAGCATAGAACAAAAGTTATTACACATTTTTCTACGAGAGAATATATTGCGTTTCCTGGCAAATAAATAAAACGTTCCTGTATTAACAAACAGTCATAGAGAATTTTACATTTACATTGCAACCCTTTAAAGGCAGCACAGAGAATCCACAACAATAAAGCTGGGAACTCATTAAAGTGAGATCATATTAGTATGGAGGCCAATGCCTTTGCTTGTGTCCATCATTTCTCCGCTACACGTCCCAATCATCAACTACACCTAAGTCTTATCTCTTCACCTTATCAGTGTCCTGCTCCCAGTGTCAGTCTCTCTTCATTACATTCAGACTCTCTATGGCTTCTTGGATATCATGTGTTCCTTGTTGGATCTTATCTGGGTTTGTTCATCTCTACATCTGCTCTGGTTGGATAATGTTCATCGTCCCCTCAACTCTACTCCTGTTGTGCCCCCTGAAGACACCATTGGTTCCAGTGATTCCTGGCCTTTTCTGCTGACTGTGATACAATTTACATTTGTGCATTTGGAAGACAATTTTTTTATTCAAAGCGACACTGGAATGAACACTTTTTTTCAGTTTCTGGTTTCCCTGGGATTTGAACCCACAGCCTTTGCTTTGTTAGCGCGGTGCTCTACCAACTGAGCCACAGAAAATCCTGTTCTGCTCCCTTTAAATGGTCATAACATTTCCGTACTGGTGAAAACCCACTGTAATGAAGATCTTTCTTGATCCAACTGATGTTTGGATTCAGTGAGACACAACACAAAATCCAGACTCCAGGCTACAAGTGGCAAACATACACATAGCATTTTTATGCCATCACATTGGTGTATTGAATTTCAAAATAAAAGTCCTTCACATACACACTCTAAGTAAGAGTCTGTTTCATGTACCGCTCTTTATGTGTGTGTAAATAAAGTGTATATAGTTCGTAATCCGGTGCTCCCTTCACCCTCCTTCTAGCCACAGTGACAGTTTGTGGATGAAGGAATCTTTTAAATCGGATTAAAGGAAAATCCAAACGAAAACATCAAAAGAGCAGCGTGATGTCAAGCAGATAATACAGCAGAACTGCTTCTGTTGTTCGTATCTCAAATTTTTCTTTGCATCTCGAAGCAAAAAAATTCCCATGAGATTTTTTCGTATATTTTGTAACATGAAGAATTTGTATCTCGTGGTACCACTGTACTCAAATTACTGTAACTGAGTAGTTTTTTCACAAAAATTCAAATTTAGTGAGTGGATTTAAAAATTCTATATTTTTACTGCTCTACTTCACCCTGCCATATACTTTATTATTATTTTATGTATTATTTCGACCTATCCTATCCCGTCCAATCAAATTGTGTATAAAGAAACGAACCAGCTCAATTAACTAACGGATAATAATAGTGTTTCATTTATTTTACACATTACCTTTTAAATATATTCACAAGGTTTTCCCCTTTAAAATGAAATTGATTATTCAGTTAAAATACATGTGTCCATAAATCCATTTCTCAGGGCCAGTAAAGAAAATTTTTCAGCTAAAAAATGACTGAATGCAAAAAGAAGCCAAACATTGAAAGTTGAACAGCAACTTTTATTCTGAAACGGTGCTGCTACTTTCATAACAGCGCGACAAAAGCTCAACCGCTTGAATCTGCAGCAGCACATCTGCTCATCTTCATGCACATCTGAAAGAAAATCATGTTTTTATTACAGAAGAGAAGGAAAACAGTTCCATCAACAACTGCAGCTTTAATTATTATTATCAAACCATTTTTAACCCAATAGAATTTATTGAGTTGATTTGAAAGCATCAACTAAATATAATCTCATACCTCAGTGCATCAATCCAGGTGATATTTCTCAGATTTCTTAAGAAAAGGAAAGAAACAAGTTTCATGAAATACCCAGTTGGCCTCAAACACTTTGCTAGATGACAAATAAACAGAAACAATTTCTTTGAAGAAATTAAATTTAAACAAGTTGAAGAACAAGGAATTCTACAATTCAAAGTGAACTGTGAGCCCTGGTCAGAGACTATATTAGCCTGAAGACCGTGAAACCGAAAAACCTGATGCACTAGGATAAAAGCTGTCTCCAGGGCGGATGCCATTTTAATCAACGGAATGAAATGTAGGGCCTAGGAGAAGCGATTGACAACCGTTAAAATTACCGTCTTACCCGGCGAGGGAGGTAACCCATCCAAACCAAAAACGGAACGCCATTCCTCGAGAGCCAAACGAATAGCAAGGAGTTATCTTGCAGAGAGAACTACACTAAGAGCAATTCCACTAAGCCACCAAATGTCAGGGGCATATAGATGTTTTCTTTGATTCCTTGACGAAAGGGCCAAAGCAGGGAGCCGTGGCCTCATAGAGCGCAGTGGCCCATGCACGCGCACGATCGTCTAAAAGAGAAAGCACGAAGGCCACGCGTGATTCTACGCTGGCATAAGTTCTAGGCTGCAGAGAAAAGTTCACTTCATACTGGGTCAAGAAGGACCTACACTGTGTAGGCTGTCCACCATAACGAGGCGGGTTAATAACGATCCAACCTACGCTACAGCCACTTGTCTGGCCGAATTCTATGGCTTGACGTATGTTGAACAAATCCTTCTCCTGATGGCCCAAAAGAGCCCCTTGAGTCCATGTCTAGTCAGTCCTTTTTGTTAGGTGCGGGAGTTCAAAGAAGGGAGAGAGACTCAGATGCAAGAGTTCAGATTTTAATTGAGAACAAATGAGGTAACTAATCCACAGGTACATACTAAATACAATACATCCACAGGCACAAGGTCAGAAAACTACCTAAGGGCAGCGACAGGGCAGGGACTGCTGGAGTTTCAATTAAAAAATTATTCGTTTAAAAAATGAAACATTTCTGTTATATTAGTTCACTGCACACAGTGTGAAATTGTGTGTACATGTGTCACCTTTTGAAACAAATAAATGTTTGCCAATGTGCGCTGGAGATAGGCACCGGCAGACCCCGGTGACCCCGAAAGTGAATTAGCGGGTTGGAAAATGGACAAATGAACTCAAGTGCTGTAACACTAAGTTAAATTAAAATACATATATTCTACACTTGTTAGGTTTCACACCATGCAAGGGCTCAATCACACAAGACTCACGTTTCAGGTGTTGAACTTACCAACACACAGAGGCTTTGGGATCAGTCCGTCCTGTGTGCAAGTAGCTTCTGCTCTTTCTCCATTTGGAATGTACCCAGGTTCACAGCTGTAGGATTTTATTTCATCCACTTTCATAGTCTTCCATAAATGAACATTTGATATGCTTCGGTCTTTTGGAGGGGCACATGTAATCACTGAAACATAAATATCTTATATAAACATATATCTTTTATATAAAAAAATTTGGATCCATCAAATCATCAAAAGTTTTTTATAAGTCGTACGTTCACAAACAGGCTCTTGATCCCATTGACCATTAGATTGACATGTGGAAGTTGTGGATCCAATCTTATAAATGGATTCCAGGAATTACTAAAGCACTTTATTACAACACTTTCACCAACTCTGAAAACAGTTTTTCCGCCTGGATCTGCTGATTTTATTCCATCCGTTGACTTTAGCTCACAAGTGACAACTGAGAGAGAGAGAGAGAGAGAGATTTTTAAAAAACATTTTATGCTTCTTTATTGTACAATTTCATATTAGCATATTATCATTTTAGTTCAGCTCTTCCAGCTCTTCCAAATTCACCTGTATACAGGTTTTTCCTCATAAAATTAGCATATTGAGATAAAGTTCATTATTTTCTGTAATGTACTGATAAACATTAGACTTTCATATATTTAAGATTTATTTACAAACAACTGAAGTAGTTCAAGCCTTTTACAACTCATGAAAACCCAAAATTCAAAAAATTCTAAATCTAAAAAAAAATTCCATATTTTTTTAGTCTTATACCCTCAAAAAGACAGAGAGCTGTGCGTTTTGAACTAAGGTGATTTTGTGAAATTTCAACTATGTATTTTAACAATACTGTTGAGAAAATGAACTTTAGTTTGTTTAATTAATTATCTGCCTTAAAATGTATTTAGTTTTTTAAAATTACAGAAATTTATCACGGCTTTAATAAACTATTATCATTTTTTTCAAGACTCCTGCTCAAACAATACGTTATAAAAGGCTTTCACTCTTATGAAGTTGACACATTTAAATGATCATGAGCTCAAAAGTTTGAATCTGAGACGATTTCAGACCCGCCCTTTTCAATTTAAGATTTAATTTTAACACAGTTGCAAGTTCAAGTTTAATAAAAAAAGGATTTTATTTCATCCACTTTCATAGTCTCCCATAAATGAACATTTGATATGCTTCGGTCTTTTGAAGGGGCACATGTAATCACTGAAACATAAATATCTTATATAAACATATCTTTTATATAAAAAAATTTGGATCCATCAAATCATCAAAAGTTTTTTATAAGTCGTACCTTCACAAACAGGCTCTTGATCCCATTGACCATTAGATTGACATGTGGAAGTTGTGGATCCAAATCTTATAAATGGATTCCAGGAATTACTAAAGCACTTTATTACAACACTTTCACCAACTCTGAAAACAGTTTTTCCGTCTGGATCTGCTGATTTTATTCCATCCGTTAACTTTAGCTCACAAGTGACAACTGAGAAAGAGAGAGAGAGAGATTTTTAAAAAACATTTTGTGCTTCTTTATTGTACAATTTCATATTAGCATATTATTATTTTAGTTCAGCTCTTCCAGCTTTTCCAAATTCACCTGTATACAGGTTGTAGTGAAGTTAAAGTAAAAATCTCCCAAATTTAACTACTTGAGCGAAGTACAGATATTTGAAAAAGCTACTAAAGCATAGTAACCAATTACATTTGCTTTTGTTACTTCCCACCACTCTCTTATGAAGAAATGGCATTTCTTGTTCCCTTTAAAGTCTTTGAGTTCATTTATTATTAATCTTTTGTTTTCTCAAGTAAACTTTATCATAGTTGAAAGGGTGTTTATTACCATCACATTCTGGATTCATAGTCCATCCATAAGCTGCACATCTTGGGGTCCCCTCTCTAGGCTTGTACCCGCTTTGGCACTGGTATCTTAACTGTTCACCTTTTTTATACACTTTGTTAGGATTTTCAGCCTCTCCATTTGGGATCAGTGGTACCCTGCATGATATCTCTGTGTAAAAAAAAAAGTGAACTGTTAGAAATGTGTGATCACTGGGTGGAGATCTAAAGAAGTGAAAGAACCTTTGCACGTTGGAAAAGGGGCGCTCCATTCCCCCGTGTGTGTGCAGTTAATTTCTCTTTTCCCATCCATCACTTCTTCCTCGGAGACGCACTCAAAGCTGACAACATCACCGTATGTTCCATTCTTTGTGTTTCCTGTTGAGACGCACTCAAAGCTGGTAACATCACTGTATGTTCCATTCTTTGTGTTGACTGTTGCTCTCACTCCTGGATTTGTTTTAATGCATGGACAACTAACTACTACAAAATAAATGGATTAAAATCATAATAATTTTAAATATTACAGTTATTTTGATACATCATGCAAGCGTACTCTCACAGACAGGGAGAGTGTTGTCCCATCCTTGTTTTCTGCATGTTCTCGATGTTTTTACACCGGTGAGTTTATAGCTGGAAACACAAAAATTATAGCTGATGATGTTTGT